ATGAAAAATTACTTTAATACTTGTTACTCAAAAATTACATAACATTTCGATATCTCCAAATAGAAATTTGGAGATAGTATTTGCTAGTTTTCAGATTTAATATTTTAATTTTTTATTCAGTTTCATATTTTCAGATATTAAATGCTAATGAAGACTACAAATAACGATGTCAGATGCTACCAGAAGTAGGAAAAAGAGAATGTTTTGATTTGACAATTATTTTTAGAACAATGATATACTTAGATTTAACTTTATATGTGGGTTTTTCTTATTTATAAAGTACTGGACATGCAAGAATATTTTTGCTACTTTTATTGTTTGGAAGATATTTTTTTAATTTAAAAATATTTTGTTGTGAGGAATAGAAATCACATTAGTATATCTAGATTAAAGACTGCCTAATTTATTTATCTCCTTATAGACATGAACATCTATATTACTCCCAACATTTCCAAGTGAGATAATCCGGATACCTGGTCTTAAACATTTTCCATTCTACCAGTTTTCACCCACTTGAGATGACTTGGACTGTAGCCACTATGCTGAGTACTTTCATCAGTCAGCAGTTCTCAATGAGAACTCAGTGCTTATGGTTTGATTTCTTCCCCCATTATTTTTCATTATGACTATGTATCTTGTTTTAATGTTTGAGGAATTTGTAACACGTTAGATTCCAAGGTCAGTAAGTGAAACTTTCACAGACAAGTTAACCTTAGTACATGCCCATAAAGTTGATCGCCAAACTTAGCCAAATGTTATTTATCAAATATGCATTGTAAATATCAGGATGAAATGAGAAAATAGATTTGCATGGGTCTGGCAAATCCAGCCTGAAATGCTTAACTCTGTAATAGCAAACCCATTTTTTGTTGTTGTTGTTGTTACGAAAAACACCCCATTTTATCTTCCGCCATGGCAGCCATAGAAGTGTAATAGCCATGGGTGTGTGCTACCTGCCTATGGCCATGGGCTTCAACAAGGGCCACAAAGTAACCAAGAACATGAGCAAGCCGAGGTACAGCTGCAGCCACAGACGCCTCAGCAAGCACACCAAGTTCATGCGGGACATGATCCAGTAGGTGTGTGGCTTTATACCCTACGAGCATCGGGCCATGAAGCTGCTCAGATTCTCCGAGGACAGGCGGGCCCTCAGGTTCATCAAGAAGAGGGTAGGGACACACATCTGCACCAAGAAGAAGTGAGAGGAACTCAGCAGTGTCCTGGCCACCATGAGAAAGCTGGTTGCCAAGAAGCACTGAGTGTGCCCCACTATCCCCAAAATCCTCACCCATCTGATACAGTAAAATATAGTAAGCAAAAGAAAAAGAAAGAAAAACACCACATGTTAGTCATTTTCAATGATAAATATTTAAAAAGAAAGTTTTAAAGAATCAACAGTAAGTAATTATATTACTTTATAAAGACAAAAGTTACATTACTTACTAGATAATTCAGACTTGAAATGAGTTAGGATCCAGGCATTATAATGTACATAAAAACCAATTCTTCACAAATCAAGGTCCTATACAGGAAAATTAAAAGCATATAATTATTAAAACATTTGGTTGAGATTGCAGGTTCATCCTAGAGAGGGTTAAACCAGGTTGCTCCTTGGAGGCAAGGATTCTGAAGCTTTCTCTGAAATACTTAGGACACGTTGCAAGGAGGGACCAGTCCTTAGAGAGAGACATCATACTAAGGAGGGTGGAGGGACAATGCAGAAGAGGAAGACCCTCGATGAAATGGATTGATTCAGTTACTGGGGTAATAAGGGTAGGTGTGTCAGAGACTGTAAGATTAGCACAGGATAGAGCAGAATTTAGGGCTATTGTACGTAGGGTTGCTATGAGTCTCAGGCAACTCGACAGCACATAACAACAACAACACAATGTTTCCCTAGGAAGAGACAGAACAGATTATCAAATATGACAACAAAAACTTACCAAAAGACAAAATCGGTAAATCAGACTGCATAAAAATTGCATTTGTACGTCAAAGAATTTAGAACATTTTCAGGAAACGTATTTGGTAAGGACCAGATATCCTTGATAGAACTAACATAACTTATTCACAAAAAAGACAACTCAGCTGAAAAACAATAAGCAAAAAACTTAAACAGTTCTCTGAAGAGAATATTCTTATAACCACCAGACACATGAACACATGTTTAACATGAGTAGCCATTGTTTTTAAGTGCTCGCTCCAGTTCTGACTCATGTTCATTCTCTGTACAATAAAACTAAATACTGCCTGGTCCTCCACCTCTTTTACCGCTGCATACTTAAAATCAGTGCAGCATTCACCCTGTCACTCCGTCTCATTAAAGGTTTTCTTCTTTTTCTCTGACTTTGATATTTCAAGCGTGATAAAATGGTCTATTCCATTAATATATCTAAAGTACTTAAAAAATCATATAGTCATTGCTTCAAGGAGTAGTCTGACTGTACCTTTCTTCTGGCAGTCTATTATGTATTCCATATTCTTCATCAAGACCACAATGTGAGTGCATCATCTCTTCTTTCATTTTCCTTATGTGTTATCTAGTTTCCACATAAATATGAGACAGTCAAAAGTACTATGACATAGATGAGCCATTCTGACTGAGTACTGAAAGAGATCAGTTCTGAAATGACACTTTTTGGACAATTGGTATTTAATAGAACAGTTTCTATGACATTTTAAGCATTATCCTGAGTGAAACTAGTCAATTTTACAAGGACAAATATTGTGTGCTCTCACATGAAGAAAGAAACTTATAGAAAACAAAGTTTATTAATCCTAGAGGTAAAAGGAAGAGGGGAAGGGAAAGTTTTATTACTTGGGAGACACTAAATTTATGTCACGGTGATACAGTATTTTGGAAAAGTTATATTGACCACAAAACAGAAAAATAAAATCAAATGTCATGAAATAATAAAGAAAAAAGTTGTTACAGAGTTCCAACTCATAGTGCTACTGTGTGTATGGAGCTGTGCTCCAGTAAGGTTTATAGTTGCTGAGTTCAGAAGCAGATCAGGATTTTGACCAACACATGTATGTGATCTAGAATGACTAGCCTTTCTGTAACAGCTAAGCACTTTAACTGTATCACCCAGGAACTTCAAACTTAATGTACGACAAGTCTTACAGGGAGCTCTGGTGGCTTAGTGGTAAGGATTTGTACTTTCCTTGAAAAGGCATGCAGTTCACATCCCCCAGCTGCTCCATGGGAGAAAGATGAGCAGTCTCCTCCCTTGCTATTTACTGCCTCGGAAAACCCGCTGGAGGGTCAGCTACAGTGGGTTCCAACTCGATACAAATATCAACAACAGCAACAGCTTTATTCTCACATTAATTTTACTCCACATTAATTTTTTTTTTCCAGTTGTCTTCTATTCCGGGACTAGATGATGTCACTTTTGAAGTATCTCCTGTAAGTAATAGTGTCACAAATGGACCCCAATCTGAAGCCACTTCTGTGCAATCACAGGTAAGTATTTAAGTCTCAGTAAATACAAGTGCATTTTCTTGGTTGCATGATGGATCCAAACAGCAGATTAAAAAGGAAGAAGTTTTAGAAAATTAACTGGTTTGTTATTTTTGAAGGACTTTGTAAACTTAATGATCATACCCTTGATCTTTACAGGACAAGAGAAAATGTTGAATGTATGCATTGCCATCAGGTCACTATGAAAATATTTCCTAGGTCTTGTTAGAATGTACTTTAAAATATTTTATTATAAAAATTTCCATCAAACACACACACAAAAATAGAATAATGCAACAAATGCCCACATACCCATTACCCAGATTTATAAATTACTAAGACTGGCATAATTGCTACATCTGTCTTTTCTTTTTTATTTTTCCTTGCATCTGTCTTATTTTTTGTCTGTACTGACGTGAATCCCAGATACCATGCCATTTCACCCTTGCGTAACTCCTGACGCAACTCTGACCAGTTAATGACCTTTTTCTTATATAACCAAAATGCCTTTGTAATATACAATATGATTAACAGTAATTCCTTGGTATTCTCTGGTGTAATCTCTAGACCAGTAGCTTAGGCATCACCTGTGGGCTTGTTATAAGTGAGAATCTGTGGTTCCATCTCAGCCTTACTGAGTCATAATGTGCATATTAAAAAGATCCCTAGCTGATTCCTAGGGTCTTAATATTTGAAAAGTACTGTTCTCTTAAATACTGCTTGTTTTAAAAGTTTCCTTTTTAAAACTTAATTTACTTGATTTAGTATCTAAGTAATGAAGACACTCAACATTTAGTTATTTTTTATTTATACATCCACATAAATTCAACTTCTTTATATTTGTGTTTGAAGAAATTCTTTAGAATATCTAATGGATAGATCAAAACTCTTAATTAAGAAAGGCAATCAAGTTGTGCCCTCCCAACATCTTCCTATCTTTATCAAAGACATTTCTATCTAAGAAACTTCCTATCTCTATAGAATTCTGGATTTGTATGTAGAGCTCTTTTCCCCAGATATTTTTAAGGATTATGATGGTAATGATCACGATAATAGCTAACCTTTAAAAGTGTGTATACTAAGTGCCAGGGATGATTAGATTTACTTTTCATAAGTTTATCTTCAGAGCAAGTCTGTGAAGTAAATACTCCATTATTACTCCCATTGCATAGATAAGTAGGTCAGATGAGATATGCTATGGAGTCAATTACAGCTCATTGTGACTCTAAGAACTAGTGCAGAGAGTTTCTTTTTTTAAATTTTATTTTATTGGATGATTTTTCCCCTCCCCTTCTATGTACTGTCAAATCAGATCTGACTAGCACAGGAGGAGATTGCCCCTCCTTCTCCAGTGAAGCATCTGGTGGATGTGAACTGCATGCCTTCAGGATTTCAATGCAGCTTCTTGCCACTAGGCCAGCAGAGCTCGCAGAGGGTTTCTTAAGCTACTCTTTGAGGGAGCAGATCACCAGACCTTTTCTCCTACAGAGGAACCTATGAACTCAAACCACCAAGTGCTAAATCATTATACCCAGGACTCACCTAAATGAGATAGAATTAAGTTTTTGTTTTTTTTTTTTTAATTTTTTTTAGAATTAAGTTTATAACTTGTTAAAAGTTAAACAATAAATGTAAGGGCTGGAATTTTAACTGAGGTGGTCTGCTGCCATCAATCCTTACTATTAAACACTTCATGATACTAAACACTGCACTACACAATTTAACACCACATTGTCTTCAGTGTTTGTGTTCAGCTCATTAACCATACTGAATATGCAAGAATGTAGAGGAGTTGTATATTTAGCTACACTGTATTTTAGGAATGCATCAGATGGTTATTAACAATTAAGTAGAAAATGGAATATTCATATAATTAGCCAATTACATTAATTACATTATTCATTAGAAAATTATCATAGTCACTGAAATAAATATACTGAAATATATACATATATACACATACTGAAATACATATATATATTTTTAAATATATATATATATATATACCCATATTTGTATATACACACTATACAAGAGGAAATACAGATGTTACCTACCAAAGAATAACTACTAGGCAGAGTGTAAAGAATTACCTAATAGTCTTTGATCTTTTTTTAAAATTAACAGTGTTTTGGATTTTTCTCTATTTATGCATATATCTTATATGGAGTATATATATAATACAATTAAGTATATGTATGTGTATATGTGCATACATATTCCATTTTGAAAGAATTAACAGTGTATTAGGAGAATCTTAAAACCTAAAATAATTTGGGGTATTTGTTTTTGCTTCAGAATTTTTCACTTCATTTATATTTCAGTTATTCACGGGAAACTTTTTTTTTTTAAAAAAAACCCTTTTAAAAATTACTATTTTAATGAGTTTACAGAAAGAGTGTTTTCATTCATCCTTGGTCCACATTTTACTCCCTACCCCTTTTTTTCCCCTCCACCAGTCTATTTTGCAGTGCATCTCTTGTTCCAGATTATTCTCATATAATGTCTAATCATACATTGTTGTTATTTACTGTCAAGTTGGAACCAACCCATAGCAGACCCTCCAGCAGGTTTTCAGAGACAGTTAATCGCATGGGAGGAGATTGCCCATCCTTCTCCCATGAAGCAGCTGGTGGCCTCGAACCACATGCCTTCAGGATTGCATCGTAGCTTCTTGCCACTAGGCCACCAGAGCTCCACTAATCATACATTATTTAAGGGAAAATCTTAATATCTATAATTTCCATTCCTATTTTAGAAACTATGATGATATAAAAATATTTCTTGATTTATCTGCATTTTAATAATTATTTCATTTTAGTAAAGAAATTCTTCCTAATGCTATTAGGCAAATATTGAGTAAAATAAAAAATATGTATTAGATGGCAATGAGTTGGTTTGTTCTGGAATTTTTATTATGTTGCTTTGGAGAGAAAGATTAGGTACTGTTTATGGCAATCCTTGCTTTGAACTTAGACCAGGACATGCTATCAACATCAGCAAGGTCTAGTTAACACTATGCGTATTGCCTATATTACAAAATGTTTTTTATCTAAAAAGACCATTCTTCAGTGTTGTTTCTTAGAAATAGTACTTAGTGCAAGCATACCTAGAGGATTTTGTTCCAGATCGTATTTGTCCTGGGAAGTTTTTTGTTTCCTTGTGCAAGTCACATGAATTTTTTTTTGTTTTCCTGTGCACATAAAAGTTGTGTTTACACTATAATCTATACAGTGTCCCCTAGCATTACTTAAAAAGTGATATTTCGCACAAACCTGACGTGAGCATGTGCTGTTGGAAAGATGGTACCACTAGACTTGCTTGATGTAGGGCTGCTATAGACCTTTATTTTCTGAAAAACACAATATACATGAAGCATGCCTGTTTTTCATTCTTAACCACTTTTTGGACAGTATTACCACCTACAAGTTTCATCAGTAGCTAACATTTTAAAAACAAGAAAATTTTGTTTGAGAATTATATTTCTATAAATGTTCTAGGCATTGCTGTTTAAGAAGTCATATATCCATACTTGCAAAGATCAAAATGACTTAATACATGAGAATTTCAGTCAGGTGGGTGATAAGTACCAAGGAAATCAAGCATTACCTATTAGAGGTAAGTGAAATAGCTTGATTAGCTTTATTAGAAGATAATATGGCCTCCTTAAATTGAAAGTTTATATCAGTGCTCTGTAGACAAGTAAAAAAAAATTTTTTTAGTGCCAAGAATATATATGTTTTGAAGGTCAATGTTGAGTCGATAGTGTAGTTATCTGAGGTCATATTTAAACACTTGGAAACCTATAACCCATAATGAAATTACTGGTACTCAGTTTTAGACATGTGCTTTCTTATTGAATGGTTTAGAATTATAAAGAAACATGCCTTTTAAGTAAAATGATTAACTCTTTTTGTGAATTGTCTAAAGATTTACACATAATACTCTCTACAGCAGAACAGTACCCAAGACTCTGGACCGCAGGAAAGTGAAGTAGCAGCAGAAAATATCTTAACTGTAGCCAAGGATCCAAGATATGCCAGATATCTCAAAATGGTTCAAGTGGTAAGCTAATTTGGTCTGTCTTCTCTGTCTGAGAATCCCATTTTAAATTCTTAACCCTCACAGTTTTATTGTTATCTTTATAATCAGAGAAAATTACTAAGCTCAATGGCCAAGTTCTCTACTTTTATTTTTTTCTATGCTGAATTAAAACCTTGATAATATGTAACCAGATGTCAAATATTTCTAACTCACACTGATTTCACACTTCAAATTAATATGGTTTGTAAATTTAATATGTACTTACATAATTAGGGTTTTGTGTGCTTTTTAATACTTATAAAATTACCAGTGCAAAGCTTGGATGTATCAGAAAGAGTAATAGAAGTAGACTGTTTATTTGGTAAATTAAGTGGGATATTTCCCTCATACTCGCACAAAAAATGTGGTTTTGTATTTTTGTTCTTAATATTCATCTATCAATGATTTGGTTTCTAGAAAAGAATTTACTTTTTTGACTGTGCAAAAAGAATGTTTAATAGCATGTGAGAATAGAATGCTTATTTCTCCTAAGGAATCATAGCATGATATGATATTTAAAAAATGTTTATAGTTCTGTATAACAGCACTTTTTCATCTCTTTTCATTGCTGTAGAAAGTCTTGTTTCAGTGGTTGAAGGAACTGTCTATCCATCAGTTTTTCTCTTAATCATGAAATTAAGTCACATAAAGTTGTATTATTAGACAAAGGAACTATTCATACTAAAGTATAACAGATTTATTCATGACATTATTGCCAAAATAATTTAAAACCAGTAATCCCAGAACCAGAAAACATGTTGTTATTAGGTGCTGTTGAGTTGCCTCCAGCTCATAGTAATGATGCTTTAACAGAAAACCACTTTGCCCAAGCATTGGCCATCCTCTCACCCTTTTGCTATATGTGAGCCTATTGCTGCAGTCATTATGTCAGTCTGTCTCTTTGAGGAGTTTCCCTTTTCACTGAGGAGTTTTCTTTTTCACTGACTTTCTGGTAAGCATGATGGACTCTAGGGATTGTCCCTCCTGATTATACATGTCCAGTAATTGAGATGTAGTCTCCCCATCTCTCCAAGAAATGGTGAATGCTAGAACTGAAAAAGAGAAAGAAAGCCTTCCCCCTCCTGAAGACACTGTGAATTCAGTCTTTTAGCCTCTTTAAACTGGGAGAGAAGAAATTTGTTTTGTTGAAGCCATCCACTGTCAAATTTTTGTTATAACAGCACGACTAAGAATTTTGTACAGGAAAAGTTGGATGCCGCTCTAACATGTACAGAGAATGTGGAAATGGCTTTGGAATTAGGTAGTCTAGAAGAGGTTTTGTAGCATAATACAGAGCATATTGGGATGCCAACGGAAACTTAGCAGTTTTACTCTTCCAACAACTCCTTAAGGAAAAGAGATAGACGTCTCTTCCTATAAAGGTGAACATCCTTAGAAGTCCAATGGAGCATTGCTACAGGTTGGAATCAGCTTGATCATAGTGGGTTGGATTATTAGTTAATAGTAAAAACCCATTGTAAAAAATAGTAAAAACTGTCTAGTTGGAACTGACTCACAACCTTTTCAGAGGCTGAAAATTGCGTGGGAGGAGACTACCCATCCTTTCTCCTTTGAAGTAGTTTGTGGATTTAGCTTCATGCCTTCTGGTTGACAGCACAACTCCTTACCCCCAGGCTATCAGAGCTCTCTAGTAAAAGCCTAGATTGCCTTAAAGAGAGTCTTAGTGGAATTATGGACATCAAAGGCTGTTCCAGGGAGGGCTCAGGAGGAAGTGAAGATAGGGGTACAGATGGTGAGAAGCAGCAGTAGAGAAATGGTGACAATGAAAGAGGGCGGGTGCTGGTTTTAAACATCCGAGCTGTGTTGCACACTGGGGTGCTTCCAGGCCCTTGTTAATGGAATTAGGCTTGCTGACTCACTTTACAAAGTGACAGGGCTGAGCCTCTGCACACTGTGGCTGACTGGTGCTGTATCTCTAGGCATTTACTGGAAGGACTAAAGAGCTGTTTGACACTTAGATTAAGAAACTAAGCGAAAAGGCTAAGAGGCCAAGGAACTAGGATCCAGAAGTTGAAGAGACAAAGAACAAGGGGAGTAGAACTGCCTTCATCTGAAGGAGAAGGATCATGACCTCGGTTTCAAAGGGTAGAAACACAGTTTGCTATGTCCATAGTGGCGGGGCCTTAGCAACCTAGGTTATAAAGAGCCAGATCTTCACCAGCTTGGTTCGAGAGAGTCTGGCTTCCTCTCCTGAGTGTGAGGAGGTTGTGATTATATCCACTGCCCAAAGCTGGGGAGGTGAGGCTGCCATACTCAAGGGTATGCAGGATGGGGTCTGCTTGTCCTAAGGGAATTGAGTCACCACTCAGTTGGACTAGGAGACTAGAACTCCCTTCGGCCAGGAGGGAAGAGTTGCCTTTATAGTAGGCTTGGAAGGCGAGCTCAAACCAGAGCCAAAGGACCTCAGTTTAGAACCAAGAACACCAATGTAGAACACCTAGACATTTCTCTCATTTGTAATGGAAATGGCTACGTTGTGCGTCTTAAAGCAGATAGTCTAGATTTCATGGGTTCCCAGATGAAAAGGAGATTTTAAACTTTGAGTTGACTTAGGACTTTTGCAATAATATTTTGGCATGAATGTGACTACAACTGATTGGTTATGGACCAGAGAGTGGAATGGTATGGGTTTTATTGTTTCTACCCAAGATATATGTCACTTTGAGTACACCGTGGCTCTCAATATGCTGCAGTTATCCTCTCCATTGTGATCTCCTCTAATTAGTCTATGTGTTGTAAATTCAAACTTCTGTGATGCTCATAAGGCAGAGTTAGAGGCAGTTATAATAAGGAGGCAAGATACAGTCTCCAGGATTAGGCTGTCTCTTGAGTTAGTCTCTTCTGTGATATTAAAGAGATAATGCAAGCAAGCAGACATCAGAAGGACATTTGGACCACTAAGAAAGAGGGACCAGAAGTAGAGCATATAATTTGGACCTTGGGTCCTTATTTTTAGATCCTCCTAGAACCAGGGAAAGATTGGTTATCAAATCACATGAAGATCTCTAAGGAGCACCACACCCACAGATGTTGAAAGAAGACAAGGACTTTCATCTAGTCCCTACTAGAAAGTCCTCCTAGAAAGTAAAAGCCATTCCCTAGAACTAGATTCCCTGAATTCAGATTTCAGAATGAGAACTCTGAATTCAGCTTTCTCATCTCCTAAAAATAAATGTCTATTTTTGAAAGCTACCAATTTATTGTATTTCTGTTATAGCAGCACTAGAAGACTAAGATGCTTACGATACCATTCTCATTTCAGGAGAATTCTTGTTAATCCTTCTTCCAAGACGGTTGTGTTCATTCACCATTAATTCTTGTTTAATGTGGTTCACTAGGTACCATCACCTAAAGGCATCAATAACTCTTTGATCTTCCTTCTTCCATGTCCAGCTTTTTATATGTGTATAAGATGATTGGAATACTATGAATTGGGCCAGACACCATTATATTCAAAGTGATATCTCTACAATTCAACACTTTGAAAGAATACTTTTTACAGAGGATATACCCAGTGTAATACAGTGTTTGATTTCTTGACTATTACTCTATACGGATTGATTGTGAATTTAAGCAAAATCACATTCTCAACAATTTAAGTCTTCATATATTATGAGGTTGCTTATTGCTCCAGTTGAGGTGTAATACATGCTAATGGTGATAGTTGTTGAACTTCATCAGTGAGTGCTTCTAGTAGTCTTTCAGGAAGCAGTGTGTGCAAGCATCTTCATATCATAGGCTGTTAATGTCTCCCTCCAAACTAGGTGCTTTATTTTTCTTTATACAGTCTAGCTTTTTGTATTATGTATGATTAGAGGATTCAAACCTGATGTTCAGCTTTCCCAATTTTAAGGCATTCTTTATCTCCTTGATATATTCAGATAAACCGCCTGATGATCTCTGTACAGATTGTGCATGAGTATAAGTATTCCGTAGTTTTCATCTTCACAGCTTTATCTGCAGTTTGTTATGCACTTCACAGTTGAATTCCATTATGTAGTCAATAAGATACAGTTTTAATGATCTATAAATTAGAGTCAGTTTGATTGTGAACCTTTGTGACTGCATTTTTAAAGCTAGAGTGAGGAAATCTTAAAATTGAAAGGTGCACATCAAAAGCCATCCCGCTGTTTCAAACATAAGAGAAACATCTTCAGAAGTGACTCTGGAAGGCTTTTTTATGTTAGTATTTTGACTGACACATTTAAATATGAAGGAAAAATTTAATTGCTAATGTCTATTAAGAATGTCCTGGTAAAGTTATTAAAAGATTGTCTCTCTGAATAACTGTTAGGCTCCTGACACATTCAAGAACTTAAAAACCCCTCATTTTCCTTTCAATATAAATCTATATTTACTCACACTACAAATATTTATTTAACACTTTATTTAGGATAGTAAATTGAATAGTGGCTGGATTTATTTAGCCAGCTGAGGTTTCCAAATACCACTTAAATTTATTTTTGTTATTAATTACTTGATCAAGTTTCATTGCTATTCAGACACACACATGCATTTTAATTATCCTTCAAATAGTTTTCTAATCTCACTAGGAATAAAAGCCAATATCCTTCCCAGACTCATGAGGCCTTATACGATCTAGCTCCATTTAGCTTTTTTCCATTCTGCTCCAACTCTTGTGCTGTCCTTAATGTTCTTTGAATATCTGGACAGTCTTTGTATTATTTGTATTCAGCCTTAAACACTTGTTCTTTCATATCTTCATGGTTTGCTGTGTCACTTTCTTAAAATCTATACTTAAATGGTACCTTTGCAGTAAAGCCTTTCCTGGCCACCCTGTTTAAATTGTAAAACATTTTAATCTTCTGGCCTCAATCCTTTTATTCCTTTTCTACTGTATTCTTATCTGTTCCCAACATAGTACATATTTTACATATGTTGGCTTTGTTTGTTTTCCTATTCAGGGGAAACAATTTTCCACCCCCCTCTCTTTTAACTCA